ATCAAGCATCAAATTATACTAATTATCGAGTACAATGAGTGAAATTCTTTTCAAAAATTTACATTTACACTTATATTCTTACAAAAAAGCAAAGTTAATGATTTTGATTTGTAAAAAAATGAACGCTATGAATTATTCTTATTTGATGCACTAAAAGCACAGATAAAAAGAGAGAACTGGAAAGCTTGCTAGAATGATATATTGGTTTCTTCACGATGAGCAGTCCTTTCGTCGTTTACAGAATATTAGTCGATTGATATATTAATCTCGAGATTTCTATGATTTATATACATCTAATCATAAATCTTACTTAAATATCATCTCATAACTTAAACATTCAATTGGCAAAAAAGAGAAAAATGAAGAATTTAACTGCTTCTCTCATAAATTGCTATCACAAAGTATAATATACAAAATATTGGTAAAAACGAAATGGAAGCAAATAATTTCATGAAAACACTAAACTAACCACTTCCAGATACTATATAATGTAGGTTAGTAAAATTTCAGAAAATTATGGGTTGATCAAGTAGTTTTATTTTGAATATAATAGCAATGCATCTATTTTGGGACGCTACGTAACAAAATAATAAATAATAAATTGATCAACTTTGGAATAAGAAATGAAAAAACAATTCTCTAATGATAGCTAGTTGTTCATTAAATGATAAAATGATAAGTTTTGCTTAAATTAGATTAATCATCTAAGATAGTTAAATCTAAATGATAAATAATGGATCAGTTAAAAAAGCTAATTTAAAGACAATTCTTTTATCACTCCTAAGAAGAAGGAATGTAATCTGAATATGTTGTCCAACTTTGTATTTTAAAGCTATCAATTCAGTTGAGATGCTTAAAAAAATTAATAAATTTTGAATTTTAGGAAGCTTTTTAGGAAAGTCTGAGATAAAAGATACAATTTATGAGTAAAAAAAGTTATTTGGCATTTGTTGCATAATATATATAAAAGGAGTTGACTAAAAATCAAGCTGATATTTAATTGGACAAATTTTCAGCCAAATATTTTTATATTAAAAATTACTGTAGAAAAATTTAAAATAGTGAATTGAAGAGCTACCTTGAAGAAGCAGCGTTGCTCATCGAAAGGAAACCATTCAATGTTAATTTTGCAACTAATTTTAAAAATTGCAGGTGGAATCCATGAAATATCACCCGTATTATAAACAATCATATTGGTTGGATATGTCGAATCAAAATTTGCATCAACGCTGTAAAATTACAATACTTTACTGATTTAACATATAAAAAGATTAAAGTGAAAATTTAAAAAATAAAAAGAAAAAGATTAAAAAATTAAATTAATCAAAAATTCGATTGAAGGAATACAGCTAGCATTATCTTATTTTAAAGTGAAGAACGCATATCGTATATTGCCTGAAGAGAAAAAAAATTCAAGATGTTATTAAAGCTAAAAGGCTTAAAAAAAAGTCTGACAAATAAGTTTATTTGCCAAGACCATTGAAAAGTTTTATTAACATTTAAATAGCTGCAAATAGTAAATATACTGAAAATATAAAAATATTGTCACGTAATATAATTTCATCACATAAAAACGTGATTTAAAGAACAATTTATTGATTCACTGACAGATGCAAAATACAAGTGAAAATTTTTTAAATAAACATATTATTCCAATTTCTTAATGATTTGCATAAATCTATTTTAACAGCTGTAATTAATTATTTGATGTAAGCAATTATAAATTAGAGCAACTTTTTTTACCTGTTATAAAGTAAAACATCTGGCTTCCAAATTTTGCCAGCCGGAAAACGAACATCCGTTATATTTCCGTATTTAGCCTTGTCCCATCTAAGTTTATAATCATTCCATGCCTGCGCAATATTAAGTTATTTTAATGTATCTTTCTGAATAAACTTCACAATGAAATTATATTTCTTCAAGAGAGAATAAAATTAATTAAAATTATTGCTTATTTACTTAAATTTAACAGTTAAAATTTAAAATGCTTTTTACTTAATTTATTTCAAATTGCTGATAAATTCATTTTAATGAAATCATCATAAACTGATAAATTAATTCAATACTAAAGCATTCAAATTAAAAATAAAACTGCAATCATCATATGATAAAAGCATAACTTACAAAATCAAGCCACGCATTTACATAAACAATTTGATTTTTCTCGTCAACATCAATAATTTGTTGTAAGGATACTTTCAAATAAATCTAAATAAATTCACTTTTTTTTTGGACAACAAACTAATTAGTGACAATATGAAATCTACAAATAATTTATTAATTAAATAAAACAATTCATGTAGAATGAAATGAGATTAAATAAAAAATTTAACGCTTAATTTGGCATATATTATTAATGTCAACAACGATTATAATACTTATTTATAAAGCAACTAAAAAAAAAAACAACGTAAGAAAGCGATTCGCCTACAAACCATAAAAATTGCATAAAAACTAACCACTACAGGTTGTGAATGATTTTCTACTGGACGCTCCAAATTATTGTAATTTTTCATTAAGTCATCATACAGACGACGTTCATGATAGCTACCAGTAATCATTTGTAGAAATGCAGATAATAAGATCAAAAATAGGCACTGTACTAATGATCCAGTCCACGACTGTAACATCAGGTCAGTGGTTTTTTTTTTTTAGTTCCTATTATAGTTATCCAGAATGAACGAAGAATGTAAACGAGAGAAAAACAACAGAAGTAGTTTGATGAGTGATTTTTGGCTAATCTTCAATTTCCGTTTCTTCCGTTCTCGTTCCTTAAAAAAGAGAAATATTTATTTAATTTTCTACGGATTTTTTTAATGCATAATTTATTCATTCCTATACGCGCAATATTTGATAATAAATAATCATAATTAATTTTAGATAATTAATATTTCAATATTTTTAACCTTCCAGTATTTTCCATGAAATTTATTTTTTTCTTCTCATTTCTTTCTCCTATAACTTTCAAAAATTTTCAAGACATAGAAAAATTACTTTTGTCAACATTTCATAAATTGTTTTTTCAATAAATTCCAGAAATTTGCTAAACAACTATTTATTATTTATACAAACAATTTATTTTAAGCATTCAACTGTCATCTCATGAAACTAGAGATAAAACTATAAAACTAAACGCAATGTGTCAGTGTCAGTTGGTATTTTACACAAATTTGTAAATGAAAAATAATTATTTTTTAAAATGAAATTTTTTGCTGTCTAACTTTACCATCTATTTATTTTCAACTATTAATAAACAAAATTAATGAAAATTCAAATAGGCAGTTCTATCAGTGCTATATCAATTATCATCAATCACTAATCATGCCAATCATTGATGGTAATATCAAATTATCTCTTCATATTTTCCCCGAGAGAAGAAATCTATCACAACAACTGTTTGAGCAATTTCATTTGATCATACCGCTAACTAAAAGCCATAAATTGCTCTCTTCATTATCAAAAATATTCCATGCAATCAATGAAAATTTTACGTGTTTACTTACTCAGTTCATTTAGAATTTATCCAAAAAATTCATCCTAATATTTAGTAACAATTTAATCAAACCTTAATTTATAATATACAAATTGAATTTTACACCAGCGTTGTAAATATTCAGTAAATGAGTGAAAATTTTCAATGCTACAACAAAAAAAAAGTGGAAAATTGATATTTATTTATCTTTTCTTTATCTTCCCTACAGAATTTGTACTTTGCTACAAAGTGAATAAAAATGCTTCCATTGCCGAAGGATTATTAAAGTTAGAAAGAAAGGAATTAAAGAGGAAGAAATAAAGAGAAAAAACAAAGTCTTAAAATTTCACTTATATAATAAGGTATTAGCATTTGAATGAATAAATTTCAGTTTTCTAATTTTTTCCTTATTTCTTTTTTCGTTGATTTAGTATCTTTCCAAATTTGAAAGAAAAAGGATTTTTAAAAATGTAGCAAAAAAAGATAAAAAATTATATCATGGAAAAAAGTGAACCATTATAATAATTGCAAATTGATATAAATTTAATTTTTTAAATAACAGGTGAATTTTCAGGTTTGCAGAGAAAAAAGCAAAAGATTGGGTGAGAAGTTATTAATTTAAAGAAAAGAAAGAAATAATTTCAAAGTGATAAAAATTAGATTATTTCATTTCAATAAATATCAAAACATAAGAAGAAAATGGTTCACTATCTTTTGTCATTTTTAACAATATGAAAATCCTCCTTAACAATTATTTATTATTCATTCAGCTATTAGTAATAACAAATACCGGTAAATAATTGAAAAATTTTGATAACTATTTCTGATATAAATACTATTCAATTCCTTTTTGCTGCTATTTATTTATAGAGTACTTTTTTGAAAAAAATTACTGATTGAAACTGTACAAATTTTCTTTTAACATTATGTAATTAGTTATAATAATTATCAAATCATTTTTGCTTTGATCATTTGCTGTTGTAATTGGCAATTATCGAAGAACTTCAGTCTTATATACTTAAATATGACATTATCGTTTCTAATTTACTAATTTTACGCTTATCAGAATGTTTAAGGTTATCAAAGCAACATTAGCACATTTGGTTATACGTAATATTTAAGTTTCAAAACTGAAAAAAATGGAATTTGCTACTTATCGTAATATTTCACGTAACAATGAGACTGTTTGGAAAAAATCAATTAATTAAACAAAATTTTATGCAATCGTGTATGCATCAAAATAAATTGAAAAAGTTATTTTTGTTTTTAGAACTATCATAAAATTATATTTGCATGGAATAGAAACAATTTTAAAAAAATAAGAAAAAATGTCAAAAATCTGAAAATTGCGTAAATGAATAAAAATTTACTACATATGTTTGGAATGTTTTTTTGAAGTATTTATATATTTGTGTTAAAATTTACGAAAAAAAATAAACGCAAAGAAAGTGTAAGCATAGATATGCTTGAAATATTTAACATGTAAATTTCATGTACGACAGACATTTAATTTCGGACAATATTTTTGCAACTAAATTTATATCGTATTTTTCATCCTATTTGTCATTTCTGAATTTAAGACAAAAATAATATGCAAATGACAGATGGAACAAAATTTTTATTTCAGTGAATCAAAAATTTTTTTCTTCCTCTAGTTTTCTTTACTTTTTTCAGTTTTTTAAACTTTAACCAAAGTATCATTATTATCTATGTGGTTCTTGTAAGCTATAACGTACATTAATAAGCCAATGTAAAAGATCTAACTAAATAAAACCATGTCTTTTCTTTTTTTCTTTGGTTGTATTTATTCATCAAGTTTTTCAAAAATTTGAGCAATATATTATTACTAGTAGTGTCTTAAATTACGCTAACTAATGGATCAAACAACAACGAAGTACATCGTCAAATTTGCTCAAGAAAAATATTTTTTGGACCGTATATTTTTTGCTTCCTATTTTA